TGAGCCCAGGAGTTGGAGGTTGCTGTGAGCTGTAATGCCACGGCACTCTACCCAGGGGGACAGCTTGAGGCTCTGTCTCAACAACAACAACAAAAAAATAGTATAATAATAAATAGTATAATAGTATATAATAAAAATAGTATATAATAAAAATCACTAAGAAATTCTGAAGAACCTTTATAGTACTCTTAAATTCTGGGTTTTTTTTTTTTTGAGACAAAGTCTCACTATGTTGTCTTAGTACAGGGCCATGGCATCACAGCTCACAGCAACCTCAAACTCTTGGCCTTAAGTGATTCTCTTGCCTCAGCCTCCCAAGTAGCTGGGACTACAGGTGCTCGCTACATCACCTGGTTATTTTTTGGTTGCAGTTGTCATTGTTGTCTAGCAGGCTAGGGCCAGGCTTGAACCCACCAGCCTCGGTGTATGTGGCAGGCGCCCTACTCACTGAGCTACAGGCATCGAGCCTAAATTCTGATTTTAACTAATAACTTCCTTGTTAGCAAACTTGTTTTTCACTTAAAATATAACAGAGGTAACTTTTAGCCCAGCCCAACAAATTTCAAGTGAATAATCTAATTTTTCCAAATATTTTTTTATTTTTAGAGATGAAGGCTTTATTTGTTGCCCAGGGTAGACTGTAGTGGCCCAATAATGACTCACTGTAGTCTCCAACTCCTGGGTTCAAGTGATCCTCCTGCCTCAGCCTCCTAAGTAGCTGGGACTAAAGATGCATCCCACCATTCCTGGCTGGTTTTAAAACCTATTTAGAGAAGATATCTCCTATCTATAATCCTAGCACTCTGGGAGACCAAGATGGGTGGATTGCTTGAGCTCAGAAATCAGGACCAGCCTAAGCAAGAGTGAGACTCTGTCTCTCCTAAAGTCTCCACTAAAAATAGAAAAATTTGCTGACACCATGGCACAGCCTATAGTCCCAGCTACTGGGGAGGCTGAGGCAAGAAAATCACTTGAGCCCAAGAGTTTAAGGTTGCTGTGAGGTATGACACTATGGCACTCTACCCAGGGTGACTGAATGAGACTCTGTCTCAAAATAAATAAATAAATAGCATGTTTTCCCTTATTCTTTGCATTTCCCATTCACAGCAGAAAGCACACTGACCTTAAGCTTGACAAACATATGCGCTTGTGCCAAGACCCAGAAGGGCTCTCCTAGGAGCTCCACCACTGCTGAGAGACCAAACAGCACCACTCCGGTTCCATAGTAGGGGACAATATTAGGATCGGGTACTTCAAGTAACTGCAACCAGATCCAGCCCAAGAACAAGGACCAAAACACACCCAGAGGAACTCTGGAAGAAGGGAAAAAATGTTTCATTAAATTTAAAAATACATATAAATATACATTAAAGTACTAACATGGAACAAAAAAAAAAAGTCATAATAAAAACAGCTACCACTTATTAAGGCCCTAACTACATGCCAGGCACTATGATTCCTACCCTTTATTTCACTGACACTCTCAATGATCTTCTGTCATTATCCCCATTTAAAACAAGAGGAAACTGAGGCTGACAGGCATTGGGCAATGTAGCTAAGGTCATGAAAAGCTAATCAGGCAGAAGCAGGATGCAATCCTAATGTAACTCCAAAGACTATACTCCTATCCACTCGGTTACACATACTGGCTTGACGAGCAAAATTCTCAGGAAGAAAACACTTGTTACCTATGCTTAGCATGACTGACAGATAGTATGATGGCTGGTTCTTACACCCAAATAACCAATAGACCAGTGCTCGGTATCCTTTCACATGTGTACCCCTTAAATACTTGGTGATTAACAATCTTTCCTCTAATAAAATGAACACCTCCCAACCCAGTGACAGTCATTTCTGGGGGCAATGAGGAGTTATGCGAGGACTGCACTGGAAAACAACCTCAACCATCAGTCCTACCTGCATAGACCTCACTGGAAAAAAGCCATTTCAAGTTTCAGCCGATGTAACTTGGTCTTCAAGAATATTCTAAAACATCAGTCCCCAACCTTTTTGGCACCAGGGACCAGTGTCATGGGTTGGAGGGGGATGGTTTTGGGATGATCCGAGTGCATCACACTTGCTATGCACTTTATTTCTATTATTATTACATTGTAATATATAATGTAATAATTACACAACTAACCATAATGCAGAATCAGTGAGAGCCCTGAGCTTGTTTGCCTGCAACTAGACAGTCCTATTTGCAGCTGCTTCCCATTGTTGCCTCTGCTCAGCTCATCCATCAGGCATTAGATTCTCATAAGGAGCAAGGAACCTTAGATCCCATGCCCACACAGTTTACAGTAGGATTCACGCTCCTATAGGAATCTAATGCTGCTGCTGAGAGACACAAGGTGGAGCTCAGGGTGGTAATGCAAGAGACGGGGAAAGGCTGTAAATACAGATGAAGGTTGACTAGCTCACCTGCCACTCACCTCCCACTGTGTACCCCAGTTCCTAACAGGCCACAGACCAATACCAGCCCAAGGTCTGGTGTTTGAGGACCACAGTTCTAAAAGACTTGGAACTGGCTGGGTGCCATGGCTCATGGCTGTAATCCTAGCACTCTAGGAAGCTGAGGTGGGAGGATCTCTTGAGCTCAGGCATTCAAGACCAGCCTGAGCAAGAGCAGGACCTAGTCTTTACTATAAATAGAAAAAAATTAGTCAGGTATTGTAGTGGGCACCTGTAGTCCCAGATATTCAGAAGGCTGAGGCAAGATGATTCCTTATGCCCAGGAGTTGGAGGTGCTGAGCTAGGTTGATGCCATAGGACTCTGGCCTGGGCAACAGAGTGAGACTCTGTCTAAATAAATAAATAAAAACTGAAATCATATAAAATTAAAGAAAGATATAATGAAACCTCTAAAAGGCTTTCCAAAAAACACTAAGTGTAAGTGGTTGTTAAAAGCTCAAAAGATACTATAGGATAAAAAGATTAGGGAAAAAAAGATGGCACAGGCCAAAGGGGGGCTAGAGTGATGACCAGCAGAAACAACCTCCAAAAGGGAGCTGGAAACCTGGTCCGAAACCCCAAACCTCCTCCTGGCTCCTAGCCACTCAGAAATCTGAAAACGAACCAAGAAGCTCCTTCAACACAGGCATTCTCATCTTCAAGTTGCGTGCCTAGCCCCAGAAACCCATTGCAAAACTGTAACTGGAGACAACTCAGCTTTAGGCAGGTGTTGCTGTTTCACTTAAAACACTCACTACAGTAGGGAGGCACCTGTGGCTCAAAGTCAAAGGAGCAGGGCACCGGCCCCATATGCCAGAGATGGCAGGTTCAAACTCAGCCCTGGTCAAAAAAAAAAAACTGCAAAAAATCCCCTACTCACTACACTTGCCTTCCTGAGACTTGTCTCTTGTCGAAGCACAACTCACGTGAGCCACAGGAGGTTGAGGGTCTGGCTCCAGTCTCGCTGGGTGTCCCCACTCAGACATGCTCTGCGGAAGGCCTCTCTAGCCAGGAAGATAGTGGTTGAGTAAAGCAGTGTTAGCCTATAAAGGAAAAGCAGAAATCAATAAGGCCTTTAGTTTCTTCATAGAGAGAACTGGGATTTTTCCAGTGCCAGGGAGGAGATAAGGTCTTAGACATAAACCACTGGTGGTGATGTGGAGGGCAATGGGCTCTTACATGACCTCCCAACAGTCTGATCCATGAGAACAGAGTTAGGAACCAAACCAGGGAGACCTGAGTGTGTGTGCCTACAGTTACCTCTGGGATACAAACTCAGCAGCCTCCACGGCTATTGGCAGAGATGTGGTTCTAACCATGAGGAGAAAAGGACAAAATTACGACCCCACACAGCAAGGGGGCCTTTTGGTCACACTGAGACTAGTGACCTGACAGCCCCTGTGAGAAAAACTAAGCCTTTACTAAGTAGAGGCTCTGGCCAAAAGAATCTCAAGACAGGCAATAAGGCTGGAAACCATCACAGAGGATACGTAACCTGGATCAGCAAGGTTTGCCCAGGTACTTTCTTGGTGGACAGCACCTGTGACAACCTCTGTGTCTTAGTGAGGAGTAGTTGAGGTTCCCCTTCCTCAACAGGCAGTGGCCCAGATGAAACCAGAGTGAGAATGGCCCAGGGATCATCATCCTACCCAGTCCCTCTGTCAACCATTGCAAAGGAGATAGAACCATACCTTAAGCAGGGGGCGCAGGCCAGACAAGGCTGTCAAACACGGACCTGCCAATCTTGGGAAGGCTGCATGGGGAGAAAAGTCTGAGCCCCTAAGAGGACTTAACCTTCTTCCTCCCTGCTTTTACAGCAGTATTTCTCAAAGTATGATCCCTGCTTCAAAATTACTTAAAGAGCGGGTAAAAAAATGCAGATTCTTTGACCCTTCCTCAACCTTACCTAGAGCACTATAACCAGAAGATTCTTTTGCCCATCAAAGTTTGAGAATTACCACTAAGCTTTGAGAACTAAGTCAAGAGCATATGCTCGTTAAGTATTAGACATGAAATGCTATAGAACATACTGTTTTGTTTATCCGGACACGAAGACACACCTGAGAAGCTGAGCTATTCTGAGTACTCACATCATTGCATAAACTTTGTGTCACTTATGAATACAAAATGTGTGTGGGTGGTCCTTCAGCAGAAGGAAGGAGAGCAAAAGAAACAAGCAGAGTCTAAAAGACAAAGCAAGTCAGCTTTCCAAGAGCCTCCAAGAAACTAATGACAAGAACTCAAGCTCTCATCCCAATCATTATACCCCAATTATAAAAGCACTTAGGAGGGGAGGAAGGTGGCTGCTCCAGCACTGCAATTATAAAGCATATCCTCACGAACTGCAGAATCCCTGCTTCCTTTGCTGTCAGCAGGACAAGAACACAGTATTATACTTGACAAAGGGTTTGCAAAGAATTACTCCCACTCTTCTCCTGGGTTCTAAGAGTAGGAAAACCAGAACAGCTGGCAGAGAAATGTGCATTTGGAGGCTGCTAATGGAAAACACTCTATGGGTCCATTAAAAGCAACATCATCTGCTCATCCCCCCACCCCTACACATCCCCCACCCCTGCATACTCCTCCTCAGCTCATTGCTAGAACACTCTGCTTCTGATAGAGGTCCATGATTCCAAAATCTGAGGGTGACACACAGGCAGAGAGTTTGAAGAAAACCTGATCTGTGCTGTGAGCAGTGCCAGGATGTATCCCCTCTTACCTTACATTCACCACGCCAACAATTTCTTTTGACAGGAAGCGAAGGATAAATGCATTCAAGACAAATGTGATCAATCGAAACAATACCTATAGAAAAAGAGGAAAAAGACATAAGAATAAATTATGTTAGGAATGTTTACTTTGCTAAAATGAGAACACTGTGGCTGCTCTTCCTAATGTGATGTAATGACACACAGGAGCTTTACTGTGGAGACTCTCTTCTAAAGTGCTCAATTTCTTGGCATTTCATCTGAAATTTCATTCCTTGAGGTCTCTCTGCACTTCTGTGCAGTGGCCAAAGAACCTAGGAAGGCACTTGGAAGTTTCCCTGATTTACTGATGAGAAGGGGAGGCCCTGATGGATTTAGAGCTTCTCTTCAGGTTCAAAGTCAAGTATTGCAGGCGGCAGAAAGATAATTCTACTTAGTAGTTCCAGCCTCCTAACTAAAACCCTCCAGCCTGTTTAAAAATAGCATACATTTAGCAAGCAGGAGTCTTCAGGGTATGGCCGACTAACTAGGGATCATAGGGTCTAATTACTCTTTCTTCTCTGCCTGAAAATATTAGTATCTAAGACTTCTAAGAATAACATTTAATCTCTCTAAACTTTAGTATTCTCAATTAGAAAACAAACTGTTGTATTTCCGTACTGAATAATTTCCACTTTCCATAGATGGGATGAAATACCTTCTAAATAACCACAATGATGCAATAATATAAAATGGGGGCAAAAGGGAGACAGAATCCAGCAATATTACCCTTTGAAAGGCACTGAGAGGCTATGTTAACCAGTTTGATGTAAGCATTCCAAATTGTATATAAAATCAGCACATTGTACCCCATAAATGCATTAATGTACACAGTTATGATTTAATAAAAAATTGTTGAGAAAAAAATAAATGAAACTTAAAAAAAAAAAAAACGAAAAACACTGAGACTTTCAAACTTGCCAATTCAAGAAAACTACCTAAAGAAAGAATTCTTCCCATTTGACAGAGAACCACAAGGCTGCAGTTAAACTGGGTTGCTAAGTGGAGCTGTTGGGTAGGGTGTAAGCCTCATTCACTAAGAGACTGCCTCTTACATCTCAGCAGCAAATGACAAATCACTTCTGTGTTAAGCACCATTAGGGTTAACTGTGAACGGCTGCAATTTGGAAGATCCAAAGTATGCCAATGAACTACTATTCTCTGGGGAGAGATAGAATCCAAAAGAGAAAGTGCAGTAACACTGTCCCTTAAGTGTCACAGAGCAGCAAGGTGTCCAGAGCCAAGAGATCACCATCTTAATCCTTATGGAGTCAAAAGTGATCTTCTGAGCATCTGATAAAAGCTCTGTAGCCTTTCCTTAAAAACATGCAGAAATTCAAAAGGTCTGAAGACAATTGATGGAACCCTTACTGAAGAAAGCACTCAGCTGAGAGTCTTAACTCACCATTTAGCTCTCAGACCCATCATTTTCTAATTTTTATAAGCCTCAATTTCTTTCTGTATCAAATGAGGCTACCTATCTTATAGAGCTGAGTACAAAGATCAAATAAAATTGTAGAGGTGAAAGCATTTGTGAAAAATGCATACAATAAAAGGCATTAATACTTTCATCATGGCTGACTCAGAATTAAGACTCTCAAATTCTTGCAGAGTAAAATGTAATTGCAAAGCTACCTGAAGTGTCTGCATTGTAATTTGAAAACATTCAAGGCTGACTTAAAACACTCCAGAAACCTCAAGATTATGGCTGTTTTTAAAAAAACAAGCAAACAAACATACACCTTTATGTTAACTTCAAAGTTATCATAGTCTAAATTTTTTTTTTTTTTTTTTTGAGACTGAGCCTCAAGCTGTCCCCCTGTGTAGAATGCCATGGCATTACAGCTCACAGCAACCTCCAACTCCTGGGCTCTAGCGAGTCTCCTGCCTCCACCTCCCAAGTAGCTGGGACCACAGGCGCCCGCCACAACGCCCGGCTATTTTTTGGTTGCAGCCGTCATTGTTGTTTGGCGGGCCCAGGCTGGGGATTCGAACCCGCCACCTTAAGGTGTATGTGGCTGGCGCCTTAGCCGCTTGAGCCACAGGCGCCAAGCCCATTCCTACACTATTTTAAAAATCCTTACTACTCTTATAAAAGAAGCTAACATTTATTAAGTACTTGTAATGTGCCAGGCACTTAACAGGCAAGATTCCATCTAATCTTCCTAATGACCCTGAGGTTGCATTATTGCTCTCATTTAAGATAAAACTGGTCAGAGATGTCAAGCAATTTTCCCAAGGGCAGGTATCTAGCAAGCGACAACACACAAATTTGAGCCCAAGTCTGCTTGATTTTTTTCCCGAGACTCCATGTGCTTCTCTAAGGGAGGGTGGATTCAGGATTTGTGTAAAGTAGGGTTGAATGTCTCAATTGTGAGAACGAGAAACTGAAATACTCGGAGGAATAATCAACTCCCGGGGCTGAAAGAATCTTTAGATACCATTTGAACCAACTGGCATGTATCATATCTGACAAGTAACAAAAATGAGGATCAAGAAAGGGAAGCAACTTACTTGTCCAATGTCATATGAACAGAAGAAAAATGCAGCTAACATTTATTAAGTGCACACGAAGAGCCAAGTACTGTGTTAAGTGCCTTTATTCGAATGATCCCAATCAATCCTTGCAACAACCTTATGAGCTAGGTACTGCACATTATTACCCCGATTTTATCTGTGGGGAACTGAGGCCCTGCAAGTAAAGTCGCTAGTTCTGGGTCCTTCAGCAAATACATGGTTCCAATCCAGTCCCGCCTGAGCCCAGATTCCTGTTCTCAGCTATGCCACTGTGGCACAGCTTCTTTCGCGGGCGTCAGAGAGTTTGAGTGTCAGGGGTGGGACCTGAAGGAAACGAATCCCTTGCCTTAAAAATATCAGATTCTGGAGCACAAAATAAGAAACCCTCCTCCCCACCCGGCCACCTGATCTAACCCTCTCCAACTGGGAAACATAGTAATGCTCAAAAGGAAAGTGGCTTGTTTGCAGTCACCCAGCCAAGATTCTGAACGCAGGCTTCCAACTCTGGGCCCAAACGGCCCCTCATCGCAGCCACGGCCTCCTGGCGACCCCTCTATACCGGAGTCCACGTTGGGACTGGGTCTGTCCCAGGGAGGGCCGTCAAGGGCCCCAGGGCCACTTCCCCGCGAATCCTGGCTGCGGTGCGAGCTGGGACCTGCCGGGCAAAGAAAGTACCTGCATGAGGAGACCGGAGGAGGCCAGCCGGGCCGCCTGGCCCAAAACCTCCTGGCTGCCCATAGCGTCTGCGCCCTGACTCAAGCCCCTGGGATCCGCCGCAGCCAGCCAGCTTCGTCGCGACAAAATAGCGTAACGAAGAGGCTCGCTTGCTGATTGGTGGTTGGAGACAGTGGAGGCGGGCCTGAGAAGCTCCACCCATTTACGTCAGGTGGTTGGGGGATGTCTCTGATCCTTGGTGGCTCTGTCTTCTACTTTGTGTTTCTCGCTCTATGTTTTCTTTGCATCTCTCTCTGCCCCAAATAAGCTAAATACTGCGGCCAGTACTAACAGACACTGCAGCCAAAATCCCTCCTCTTGAGACTTTCGACCACCAACAAGAGACACCAAGTTCCCTGACCTCAACTGCCCAAAGGAGAATGAACTCACTAGTCTGGTTAAAAAGATTCTTGCCGGTGGCCTTTGCTTACAGAATTCCAGCCACAAGCCATCTGAAATAGACTGCTCAGGCATTGTTTCCATTTTACAGAGAAAATACTTGAGGCTATAAGCTAATGCCACATTATTGCGTGCATGTTTTTGTGAAATCCTTCCTAAAATGAGAACTGGGCCCTGTTGTCAGAGATAAACAAAGTGACCTTTGCGGACAAGAAATGACTTGTTCAAATTTATGCAACTTGTTCCTGGACAAAGTGGATCCCAGACTTCTGATCCTAAACCTGCTGCTGTAGCCTGCATGCTATGAGTTATAAGGGTTGAGTGGAAGGATGGACTGTTAGTGCTTTGCAAGATGTAAAGTGCCCAACATACATAACCAGCTGTTGTTCTGTGGCTGTTCCTATTATCTACTAGGCAGGCTGCAGGAAACCTAATCTTCTTTTTTTTTTTT